TCGACTAAGAACCACATAAATGCAAATCAAAGTATTACGGATGTTTTTGTCCTCATTATGAAAAGGTGTTTAAAGAAAGCATAGACGCCTATGACAGAAATGCATATCTGACTTTTGATTGAAGATCAGATGGAATGCCCACCAAACACAAACCTGTGGAGACTTTTCATTTCCCGTCAAAACTGCTACACTTTTTTGAAAAAAAAACACTTGAAATCCAAAAAAATTGACCCTATGGTTACAAAACGTTCAAATCCCTAAAGTTTTCTAACCACTGGATACATATAAGGCCCAGAAGTGTAGGAATTCTAACCAAACTACCACATGACCAGTGTAGAATCGCCATAACGCGCCTAATGATAAGTTGGAAAATGAGTGCTACTCGAACACCCTAAGTTCTAAAACATTTAACTTAAGTTAAATCTCGGGCAATTAACGGAGGAAGTGGATACAAGTGGATACACTTACTCATGAGGGACGACGGCACCCGTACAGCAAATTAAGTTTTCATCGACGAATGTCGTTGTTTATGTCTTTTCAGTAGGAGTAGTAAACGAATTAGCGGAGCCGATGTTCATGGTGCAAAATTCTTACAAGCGGAGCCACACATCTGTGTAATAATCATACCGTTTAATTTTGACGCAAGACAACATTGTAAGATGTGTGAACAAGAGATTACCCTTGTTCTGTCGTGTAAAGCTGAAGTTCTGGTACCAGATCAATAACACAACAGCAGGCTAAACATATGGAAGTGGGAAGAAGTCGGAAAGACGAATCGCACTGGTTGATCCCGTAGAGCCAATATTTAGGAAAGTTATCTGTTGTTGAGCAAAAATCCAATAAAAAGTATATCTAATATTTTATGTGATGGGTTAGGAAACGCTAGATGTAAAGGCATCAACTTAAAACCTTTTGATATATTTGTGTTGGCAAATTCACGATACGATGCGCTTATCCACGGTTTTCGAACCTTACGAACGATCGTTCAAGTCCACTTATATGTAGCGGACTTTTTATGAAAGTGTTGGATGTCTTCGTAGTTTTGTTGATGGATTTCCAGTGCTTTACTTAAACAGTGCCCTTATTCCAGCAACAAAACGCCATATAACCATCTACAACAAAAAATACCAGACACTTTCTCAGAAAAGGTGTTTTTATGCAACCTGTCTGCCAAAAATTGTGGCTTTCGATACCCACCCCTCTGAAAATGACGAAGGCATGCTTATAACGGTAGCCATAAAATGGGCCTGTAGCAGTTGAGCGGATTTTACTGAAGATGTTAAGCAATACCATTAAGTTAATTTACCAAGAGGTCATACGTCTGGCAGATACATCCAAACGTTTTAAAAAGAGCGTGCTTTCGAAAGATTCAATGCTTCCACTTTATTCGAGAATCACGTATGACATGTCAGGTCGAAGCAACCATTTCAACCACTTTGACGTAAGGAACTGAATGTTCTCTTTGTGCACTTCTTCGGTTGCATTTCCATTATATTACTCACAGCTAGGCGTTATGACTACACTTGGCATTTCTAAGCACCAGAGCACGGTGTACAAAGCATGCCAAAATGAGATGTTTTCAGTCATATAAGAGAAAACAAAATACAATGCACCTGAGGGTTAGAAAAACCTCAACCCAGTAGCTTATATTCTGTCTCAATTTCTATAGCGCATGCCGTTTCAATGACCAGATTAAGGGGGATTTTCAGGCAACACTGTTTCTGAATCTCATAAGTAATTGGGTAGTCCTAACGATGTGAGGCTTTATCTCTGGGAACTGTTCAAAGATCGTTTTCTAAACTGACCATCTGAATTTACTCATAAAATACATTAGGTAATGCACAGCAAACGCCAACTAGCCCGGTTGTGATCTAGTGAGATGGCCCATTAACTAAAAACAAAGTTAGTAAGTCAACTGGTTTATGTGAGATGGAACGACAAAGATCACTTCTTCTTTACAGATGTATGTGTCGGCAGAGAAAAAAACTTTCGAAATCTTTCATCTACACCACATAAACTGTAGTCCACTAGTGAATGAGGAGGACTAATCGGTGACAAATCCGGCAAAGCTATTTATAGACTTTATCCGCTAATAATATGGCTACTGAAAAAGTTCCGACAAATTGGTATACAGATGAGTGTATTTCACAAAACAAGTTATTTTTATCTCTGCAGCAAATTTCTCCAGTGGTGCGTTCAGATATTCCCAGACTCGATAGTTTCCTCGGTAACAGCACATAAACGCATCCTAGAGTGTGGTCAAACTTGCCCCACCTGGGAGAATGAACCACTAAAGGGCGTATTCCAAACTCTTCAGGCTACCGGAACTTAGGCACATAAATCCACTTTCGTATAGTGAGCTTTATCCTGTCTAGGTCCTCCAGGTTAACCAATTCACTTTTGCTTTCCTGTTAGCATCACCACTCTCAGTTGAATAAAATTTTTGATTCCTCTGGTTTCTCAATTCCATTTTCGAAAATTCCTCCTCTTGGTCCCTCAAATTAAGGGGATTACATGGTAAACACAACGGAATAACCCTCGCAAGGAGGACGAAAATAGTGCGTTTGCAAAAGCACTTTTTCTGAGTGGGGATGACTTTCTTAAAAAACAGATGGTGAATATCAGCAACTTGAATCTACTTCTTCTTCAGTGAGCATTCGTAGTATTGTTCAATATTCTGTTTGATACGCAAAACAATTTTTGTACTTTTTCTAGCGTACGTTTTCTAGCAGATGACGTGATATTGTGGGACTGTCGCACCCACAGCCGACTAATGGTTCTCATGTTATTTCTATTGTATCAAGAACACTACTCCATCATTCCGCAACTGATTAAAGCCATTAAATTGGAAAAATTTTGGAATTAAGAGACTAGTTGTTCCGATTATTCGGTCAGTAGTTAGAGTTTAGTGAAAGTACAGACAACAGAAAGGCAAGAAAAAAAGATGGAATTGGAGTAAATTACTTTAACAGTATACGTAACGCTGAGATAAACCTTGATAACTGTTTCAAAGGATGAAGACGTTGACTGATGAACGCCACAAGATAGCAAAGTTGGTAGAGAGTTGTAATGTAGCAGAAGAAGCCTTGTGAACACATTCCACGCATCAAACGTCCAGATGTTTATAGGCGTGGCTACGTGGAAGAGAGTAGAAAATGGTACATTACTGAGCCATCCTTTAGCAATCAGCATAGCCTCATCGGAAATTCCGCTTAGATGTAGAATTTCTGACCCAAAATGTCGTTCGAACTTGGGTTGTTGCATTAATAAGACGGTCATTCGGTGATTTCCGAACTGGTACGTTTGGAAATCAAGAATGTACGAGAAATCAATACGGACGGCCAGTTTCGTATTTATTTACGAGCCTGTTTTACCAGAACAGTTGTCAAGCTGCCAGAATGTCGATTACTGGTTTGTTAATTTCGTTATTCAGAAACATAATACATAATTTTAGGTTTGAAAAAAGCCAATGGCGTAGGCCTCAATGGACAGACAAGATGATTAATCAGGAAAGATGAAATCCAGGAGAATATTAAAGACCCGACAAAAGCTTTGTATGAACGTACTTGCTGGTTCAGCTTAGACAAACTTACCAGCTTCTAGCAAAAGTAATATGACCATTAGTCAGCCTTGTTGAATAGTACTGTTGATAAAGCATTCGTTTGAGCTGAAAGGACAAAAGCCGTTGAAATATTAATTGTAACACTTTCCACTAGATGGCCCTTCTTGGAAGCTTATAAGTCAGATTTGATAGAGATCTTCACATAGACGGAAACACGTGTACATCGGTTCAAGTATTCCAGGATGAGACACTACAGAAACAGGTTATTTTAACCCAAGTTTACCCTCGATCCAATCCTGTCGATATAGCCCACATCAAAGTTATTCGAAACGGATAACGGTTTATCTCCTCCAAGCCGTGTCTACACAGTTATCCATCATAGTCCTCCTTCTCATGTCATGGGCCTAAAATTCCTGTCTGAGCTATAATCCGCTCATTTCATTTACCCTTTTACTTCCAGTTTGGGTGGCAACAGCAGTAGACTGCATCAGCATCTTTCTCAGATGAACTATAACCATTTATCTGAACAGCCATTATGTCCGTGTGACAGCTGACATAACCTTAAGACTATGAGGAAAGCCGGGCTTTTCAACTGTACGACGTGACTGGGAAAGGCCAAAATCTAGATAGGTTTATTAAATCAAACCCAAAACTCCCTGGCTTTTTGCGAGGAAATGTGAGCGGAGTATAAATAGTACCAGTGCACAATATCACAGTGTTTTAGAATTAAAGACAATCGACCAATCTCAGCCATCGCGTCTTTATGGTCGATTGTTATATGTTTTCAACACGCAAGTACAAACTACTTTTGAACCTGCAAATGGTAGACTTAAAGGAGAAGTTAAAACTGCATAATTCATAGATTTTGGGGTTTTTATGAGGTGGATGAATAAGATACGGAGTTTTTAAGCCGTCACACTATTGTCGTCACTCTTATTATGCGAGGGACATTTGTAAATTTTCCGTCTAAGGAATGGTATTAGGGTAATTATTGCCTAAAATGAAGATGAAGCAGGCTGCTGAGAGCTCAACCAATAGGTCATATTTGACACGTACTTATTTTGCATCAAATTTAGATTATTATTTTCGGCAATATTCATATGTTTCCCGTGTATAACGTCCTGCAAAAAAATGAGGTTGCACACACTTATCTTGAAATCCCGTCGAAAAATATATCTTTAATTTGAGAATCAAGTCTCTTTTGGGAGGACCGTAAAATTAATAGACACTAATAGCATTGTATCCTAACTTCTCTTCATAGAACGTGTACAATGTATCATTTGTTTGCGCTTACGAGATTTTCTTCACAGGGTGCGCATTTGTTCTTTACTTATTTTCACTTGCCCTAAGGTGCACCGCCTAAAGTCTAGCAGCACGTGTGTTACTTTTCCAGAACCTTTGGCCTTGTCAAAGCCGGGAATCAGTGCCCTCACGAACCATGACTACCTATCCGTACTACAATCCATGGGAAGCACATTGTCGATCGCTTCTGGAAAACCACCATGAATTGGAGGCTCTTTGCATTTGTGATCATGAAAATCACATTCTTGGGGCAGCCTACACCCGTTTGGAATTTGAGGTAGGTTGATCAAATATTCAGCTATTATGCTACAAAAAGTACCTTTAAATTTTATTATTATTATTAATGAACATAATGTGTCAAATAATTTCACTGGAACAAGGTCTCTGTCGATTTTAATTATTATTCTATTGGTGGTTAATCAATGTACGGTACTCACCGGTCGATTCTATTGTTAAAAATACGTTTTAACCGACAATGGAGGCATTTCGGTTGATATGGATGACCTAGGTCAACTAACAGGGGAAGCATACACAATTGCGAAATAGTTTGTAGGTAATTGACGACCCAGCGGAATTTCAACTGAAGATTTTACTCATGGTGCACCTTGCCTGAAGCCGCTAGACAAACGTCATCTCATGTCCTAGTTTGTACGGTATTCAATGCATTTTAGTATGACCTCTCGGTGGAGCATATTAATCATAGGCTTTCTGAAACTTTTCGGCACTGGTCGGCCAGTTTTGTCAAGTAAACAAATCTTTGAGTTCCGTTAAGCATAATTGAATCCAACTTTGACGCATCTCAGCGTAGACGCAGGCAGTGGATCTCCTCACAATGTGACAGGCCTAGCGCAAGAATGCTGGGCGATCAGGTGATTCACTCGAACCTTTTACTTCGCCCTGAGGTTGCTCAACACGCGAAATGGGGAGAAAATCTCATTCGAAAGCAAAAATAAAAATGGAGTGGGTGAATGATAGGAAAGTGCTTTATTAATGCGGAACAGCATAGAGTTTCGTCGTCATCAGCATTACAATCATTACCATGGCGTCAGTGTTCAACACTGACAATTCGCTGCCGTACAACCATGATTTATTTAAAGAAGAGGGTAAAGTTGGATAGGAAACGGACTACCTGCTAACTTATGACAATTATTCCGGGATGCATACACACCCCGAAACTCATTCAGGCCAGCTACACAGAAACTGATAACAAGAACGCGGTTGACAGAGATTAGCCGCGCTGACTTGCAGCGTCTACAATCAGGCGCAGTGGGGATCATGCGGTCCCCATCCTGGAAGTTGAGCAGCACCGACAGCACCCAGACTTTTCGTAATCTCATTCATAGTTGTCTTTCAGATCAACAGTTGGCCACATCGCTACTTCCGCCATCAAATTAGGCACGGAAAACAACACACTCTTTGACAAACGATGAATAGGCATACTCAACATATGTCCCAACTAATGCAGCTTATGTTGCTGGACGCATTCTTTAATAGAAGTACCCGTTCAACAACCAAACTAGCTTTCTTACTGACTCATTAGAAATTCGCTGGTACTAAATCTTACGAGCCAGGGTCTTCAGACTACGATCTCAGTTCCGCTGCTTAAATAGGCCAAGTCTCACATCCATACAGTAAAACAGCCCACACTGTAGCCCGATACTCGCGACACTTGAGATTCAGGGATATACCAGTTTGACACCATGGGTGTTTCAAATTGACAAACACGACCGGAGCCTTTCAGATTCATGCATTAACCTCACCTGTCACACAAAAATCAGCAGTAACGCAGATTCCAGCGTTCGTAAAAGGCCCTAAAAATTCGAGTGCCTTTCCCTGGACTTTAGGTGACGTGTTTAGTGACTGCATTTCTAAGAGCATGACCTTAGATTTTGTGAATGCAGAGTGCATAACAAATGACAGCATGACTTTGGTCAGTCCATCCAAAAACACCCGTCAAGCGAAGAGTTTACACTACGGCGGCGTAATCCATACTGTTTTATGGATCAGAAACGTGGCCAGCAAGCGCAGTGGACACACGAAAGATGTAAGTGTTTGACCGTCAATGTATTAGGGCTGGTTTTTCCAGCCCTGTGCTGAATAAAAGCAATCGACGGGTGGACATTGTATAGCCTGGAAACGAAGTGTGAAAACGATGACCAATAAACTTAGTCGGGTTAGCAACTTCCGCCTCCCTGGATGGGGGCTCCGGGGCTCAGATCAGCAGTGGTTGATGACATGGGCAGGAGAGCGCAGTGAAGAGCGCTCGTGCATCAAAGCTATTCGAACAAACTGAACGTGCCTACGCCTCCATCGCTTGGTTGTATAGTCCCTTTTCCGGTTTTCCGGTGATCGAAACTGTAGCAAGTTGTTCCCATGTACCTATGGTACACGGTTTGTAGCTGATAAATTGAATTGACTTTGATTCGCGGACGGGAACGATATTGTTTGTCTGTTCCAGATGGACAAGGTTTTTACCACAGGCTATTTCAACACTGACCATTTGAGTTCGTCTCATTATCTCATCGACCACGAAACTAAATAGAAATGGGAAGAATTGGAACGCCTAACAGACACTGCTTTATATACGGAGGCTTTTGGAGAGCTGTCCGTCCCGAAGTCTGAGATTACAAGGAACTTATTAAGTTTACAAAATTCCGGGGCATTCCCTAATGGGCCAGTGTTTGAATAATAGGCCTTTCAACCGAGTCGATTGCGCCTTGGAAATCCAGGAATACCGAAATTTAGGTCATTTGTACAAATGATGTTGTCCAAGCGCCTAACGGAATGCGAAGATTTGGCCAAAACTACTCCCATCAGGTCGGAAACACAGTTGCTGCTCTCGAGTCAGTGTTTCATGAGTCACCAAAAGACGAAGGGGCGCAAATGACGCGAGCTCTCTCGTTACAACCGGGGCTAAGCTGATTTCATTGTGGTTACCACACTCAATACGAGTCCTTTTTTTGAAAATAGGCACTATCTTTGAATCCCCCCAGTTATCTGGGACAATCTTCTTTTTCCAAATGCAGGCAAACACATCCGGTTGGAAGTAGATCCGGACCAGGAGCTCAGCAGTGTCTGAGGGACCGCATGCAGTCATGAACCTCCGAGACTCTAGAGGGTTCCTTGTTCATTGTGTGGCAATTGTGGGCTCCGTATGAGTGGCATCTGTTGACCACGATAGCTTCTGTTAGGAGTATTCGACCCACCAGTCGAAGCGTTGTTCTTAATTCAAGATGGTCACTTCATTATGGTCCTTAATGGTGTTGCTAACAAAAGGTTTCCGGGACCAACTTAAACAATATTTTGGGATTACAGTATTTCAAGGCCCATTCCATTTCCTTGACTTTCTCTGTCCACCAGATATCATGGTCGGTTAACACGCTCATTTTCATTTGACGTCTGATAATTCGTCACGCCGAGTTGTATTCGAAATCGATTGGGATATTTCTCCAAAGTTTAAGCAGTGCAACCGTTAAGTCTGATATCCAGTGTTTAATTGAGCTTGATGGCGCCTTGTCACAGGCAATCCTCTCAGCACTGTACAGAAAGGAGGTAATCTCGTTTCAGTATGAATTCACATATGATAGTTGATCATTTAGGAGACACTCTAGGAGACTATTCTGACAAGTTCGTTCAACATCCGGATTTAACAGTCTCCCAGTTGCCTAGCGATTCACCTGAATCCTACTCAACCCTGAAAAACGAAGGGAAAAGCGATCCCGCACGAGTGCTAAGTCAGAATCCACAAAGATGTTCCCAAATCACCGGTGGTAATTTATCGATCCACACCACCGGTGACTGATTTAGATTGGATCGATTTGAGTTTGAGACCGGCACGCCGTTGGAGGGCATCGTGTGGCCAGAAGATTTCGGTTATTTCGGAATTTGGTACTGCATAAAAACAACCTGTGATGAGCACACAGCTGAATCCATTCCCCATACGTACCGACCACGTTGACCACCTAGTTGGGTTTCAGAGGCGCTAACCCTTCCCACTTGTGCATTCAGGTCTCCGGCAACCACAACGAGATTTGAGATAGTTGCTAGCTACAGCATGGCATTTAGGGCATCATAAAACTCGTCTTTGATGGTGCATGAGATCTGGTCAGTTGGGGCGTAAGCAGACACGACAAATAGACATCGATCAACATCCCCCTTGTGAGACTTCTTCACAGATGTTGCTAGACGAACCGCGCAGAGGCGTCTATCAGCGGGTATCCAGCCAAGCAAGGATCCGCTGAGCTGAGACGATGCCAGCTCCTGCTCATCCTGTCGCAACGGCCTCTGGATCGAATGAGGTGCGCATCCGAAAGCGAGTGAAGATTCAATGTGGTGGTTAGCTCAACCACTATGCTTGCATCTTGAATTCTTTTTCTGGAAAACAGTGTAGATTAGTACCAAGCGAGTTCAGTGTGAGAGCAAGAGCAGTCAGTTGTGCTGCTTGCTTCGGAGTTTCGATGGATATACTGGGTGTCGAGGTTTGAAAATGGACTTCGACATGCCTGATGAAGTCGGCAGTGAATGACGCGGAAACGGTGCTTACAAAACCGGTGCGGGACGGATGGTTTCACTGGTCCTAAATGCTGGGTCTACAAGAAGCGAGGTAATAATGGGGTGGGGAGAGGGAGAAGGAAAATTATGTAAGAGAGAAGGGAGGGGTCAGTAGTAGCCTGACTTCGCTTACCCACCCTGCTGTGTGTAGCAAGTAAGGCGAACCAGCTGATAACGCCAAGAGACGGCCGGTGTTGCACGAGTTTATCTGCATATGTGCAATGCATGTTTATGCATGGGCTGAGATACTTCGAGGAAGCCCAAACCTAAACAGAAAAGCGAATAGGGTCCCCAACCAAAGGTATGAGTGACTATGAGTGCAGCGCGTACAATCCACCCGGCATTGGTATATAAAATGTTGAAACACGGCAAGGTCAAATCTCTTCCTGACGGGCATCGATGTTTAGAATCTACCATGCACACTATCCAGAGATATGAGGAAAAGCTTTCGAGAATCAATAAAGTTAACCAACTTTTCGCTCAAGAAACTCGCCTGCAACATTAACTCAACATGTACTCCCCACCGTTCCACGACTACTATGGTTCGAATTATCTTGCTGAGTTCCAATGAAACCAGGCATAATCATGTTCTGCACCGCGTGAGTTTCTGTAATCACAATCTAGAAGCAAGTAAACTAATATCGAATTATAATACCGCCAACAAAACTTACAAAGAAGTCGGTTTCCTGGACCCTAATTCTTATCACCAATAATTTCCTTGACAACAGAACCTCTCTACAGTGGAGTCCTACCAAGTAAAACCACTGGTGATGTTGCTCGGGGCGGCCAAACCTGGGAAGAGTAGTGTCTACTTCCTCGGAGATCACTATCTTGTGGTTCACACGGACAAAGAGTCGATTGCGGCCAAATCGGGAAGGAAAAGTCTTTTTCTGAGGACAACATCTTCGCGTAAGTCTTGCTTGGTGACTACATCAAAGTGATACATTACTCTTAAATTGAATTCTTAAAATTTTAGCTATGCTTCCCGATTGGCACATGCGTTAATCTGCAAGAGCAAACACTTTCCACAACTGGCCATACCGGCGTTTCCTGTCGACACCGATCTAGTGTAGGGCCTCTTGAAACAGATCAACCAATCGGGATAAGCTAAAAGCTTTAATCCGGAATTGATTACCTTGTGTGTTCACAACATAAAAAGCCCGTAAAGAAAGGCCATGAAGCACAGCATGACTGTTTTTGGTGTATTTTGTACTCAACCCAAAAGCTTTCCTTTTTTCCTCCCCAAATTTTGCTGTCATCACACTGTATCCTAGATCAGAATGGTCATAGCTATTATCTCCCTATCAAAACAATTCGGTTCAACACAGAGCAATAACATGCGTCACAGGTCTTGATAGGTAGGCGACTTTGACCTCATACGACGAGTCGGCTTACGAGGAAGTCTGACATCTAGCAGTTAGCTTGTGCTGAATCCTATCGAAAACCTCTGCGAAGCCAGGTTTAATAACAATTACCTACAAACTAGCGTTGGAACCATCTAGCTGACTACCATATGTAAGAAAAAGCGTCATTAAGAACAGTTCAGTATGAATTAAACCTTGTCACTTATCACAAATTACGATCTGCTGTTCAACCAATGTTCAAATAAAATCTTTTACGATTAACACCATGAAAGCTGTGGGAAGCGGTATGGCGCCACACTAGTCAGGTTAGTCGCGTCATTTTCCACCGGTGTTAACCATTTTGACAAAAGTGTTTTTAATTTTCAGAAACACGTAAAGTGTCACAGACCTTAACCGGTGCTTTTTTTAACTATTGTCAGTGAAACTCCGTTCTTGACCGGTTTGAGCGGCGCTCTAAGGCTTGTGGGGTGAACGGTTTTTCGATCAATACTGATGGTGTCCAAAAATAGCTAAGGGTGAACTATGGTTCGGCTTGATAAATCTGGTGATAAACGCGAATCGATTGATTTAGACTTCTTAAGTGTAACAACGCCGCTCGTTTTAAGTGCGGTAGTTCTTGCTTTGCTTTTAGCGGTCGGCTAAAGGGCATCTGAATCGAACGGCAGTGGCATTGTCGTCTTCCTGAAGAGTGAAAATGAATCGGCTTCTCTCTCTAATCTGAGCATGAAGGTTGAGCATATCAGCACAGATTTAACCTAATGTTCACTTTTTGGACATCCGAAGGATACTGTTTTCTGGATAAAAAATAGTACAAAAGTCCTTACTTTGGTATTAGTTTCTCCAGAATATCTATGTTCGTCTGGCGACCAATGTGTTTTCACACCCTAACCAATTATGAATTCATTTTGATGTGATTATTCTCCTGATGTTTCACGTAGAATACGTTGGCAAGCATTCTGTCAGTTTGCATCACTTCCTCAACTTTGACCATGTTTATCACTAACTGGACGAAATTTCAATCAAAAATAACGAAATCTCTTCACAGTGCTGGTCACGAAAGCCAAAAGTCGCCGGTTTGAGGTAAACTTGTCTACATTCTAGAATCGGAATTCTTCAAAAGTAGAATGTGGCTTTCCATACCATGTCAAAACAACGGGATCTAGCAATGCTTGTCTGACGAAACGTTTTGTTTTGTAAGCGGTGAAATTGGAGCTAAACTTATATACTTACTAACTTATATACTCTAACATCTCCTCTCCTTTTTGTTGTTTACATGGAAAATATCTCGTATCAAAAGCTTATGAATAATGGATCATCATCATCATAACGGACAGCATGACATCAGTGTCCAACACCGATGCTTCACTGCTGTAGAATGACTGATAATGGTTGTCGAAGGAAGAAATCCACTTCATTACCACATATTTATTCTAGTTCGGCTGTTGTCGAGGAATTTTCATCAAGTTGCCCAGCTGTTTCGAGCACAAATCTTTGTGGATATGCCGGTAGAGTTGTAGTGATATATTAGTTTATTCGCTATGGTAACCTCACATATTTCACGACCAGGATAGGTTATGTCCATAAACTGTCATGTAATTACCAGTGTATCACTGAACCACATACAAGTGTATAAAATAGCGCGCTACAATGAATTCCATTCATCAGGGACTCGCCATCCACCAAAACCGCCAGTTCGGTTTTTTGAGATTTGGTTTGAAAATGACGTCTTGAGAAAACAAGCACCACTTTCCAATGAACGTCGTTCTAGTGGTGCACCAGTCTAGCAACAAGAACCAGGATGCAAATTCCGGGCACTGTGTTTTTACCATACTTCCATATCGCCCAGGTATCAGTGCGCCAACACGATGGAAACTTAGTTCTCCAAGGTTCCATAACATGGTTGCTGTTTTTCAAATCGGCCCACTTTGTTGGGTCCCTTATGTGTTCCAAAATATCCAAAACAGATTGTGAGACTTTGAAGACTGACCTTAACAAAAGAACAGCCGCAGTGCATTTCCTTCCTCTGCGAAAGGCTTTTGGAAGTGTGCTCAACGTGAGTCCCTGACAAGACGCGATTGCTGTTTGTACATATGCGGCTCCATAATGGGAGCAGATTTCATCTAGGACAAAGCGGTCTTCATGAGAGGAAGCAAATTAAAGAGGATGGCAAAGCACAGTCGCAATGAAACTGCGCGAGGTTCAGTTTTTACCATGCCGTTAACATTTGTTGAGACAAATACTATCGGCTTAATATGCATAGTCTTTCTTCTCCAAATAAAACCACACAAAGCTTTAACTCACAGTGAGCTTTGCTTGCAGCATAGAACACAAAAAAGTCAAGCGGGGCCGTACGTCTAATGAAGGACGACCAGAATTCATATCCCAAACAAAGTTCCAACATTTAGCACAAGTATTGAATGAATGAAAGATCACGAAGATCACGGAGTTATCTGGCAATAGGCACAGACATTTTGAAAATGACCTTCGATGCAGACTCAAAGAGCTCTAAGGCGTGGCATGTCTGAATTTCACAAAACGAGACACCGATTGGAAAGGGGCCCAGTCTCGAGTGGCACAAGTTTCGAAAGTGCATTCCTTATTAGGATCAACCTAGTGGGTTTACAGGGTGTCTTATTTCCTACAGGAAAAAAACTAGAATTGTATCCCAAACAAAGTTCCAACATTTAGCACAAGTATTGAATGAATGAAAGATCACGAAGATCACGGAGTTATCTGGCAATAGGCACAGACATTTTGAAAATGACCTTCGATGCAGACTCAAAGAGCTCTAAGGCGTGGCATGTCTGAATTTCACAAAACGAGACACCGATTGGAAAGGGGCCCAGTCTCGAGTGGCACAAGTTTCGAAAGTGCATTCCTTATTAGGATCAACCTAGTGGGTTTACAGGGTGTCTTATTTCCTACAGGAAAAAAACTAGAATTGTGGTCAATTTTCACCACCTTTCAATCCACACATGGCAGGCATAATCTCATCCTGACGACGGGTAAATCGCTACTCATATAGATAATGGAGCATCGTCGGGTACTTCGTCGTCACATTGGCGGCGTGCTATTAGAAACTCCTCTGACAGATTTGTAAGTTTCCACACTATGAGAGGAACGTACTTGCGCTAGAATTGAAAACAAACACTTATTTGATGATGAAGCCTCACAGATGAATAAGTAGATGGTTCTCTATATTCTAGTATTATTTTCAGGTCAGCGGATGGCTTGCGACGGACCAGCCCTCTTTGGCATGTAGATTATGCTCTATCAGGTTTGCACCATGGTCAAGGGCTTGCAATTAGTACCACAGTAACGCCCCTCCACCAGTAGCCGTCCAGAAGTTCTCAGGCGTCGAGCGGCCAGACCGACCTAGATGCCACATAGTCTTATGTAAACATAAGATCAACTGTTTGCAGTGTATACACAGTGATGTTGGAATTTATATCGCAGACAGCTTTACGCGTTATGCATAGTGACACATTTCAACTACAGCATTAGCTTCCGAGGTAAAACCGGCCCAAAGAAGTTTCAAAAAGTGCTGGCAACTGTATTATTAACACAAGAGTCTCTTATCTAACTAGCTGAAATCCAATGCTTTATTTTATAACGTGAAACTGATAACACCACAAGGAAACTTTTGTTCACCAAAGGTGGAGACATATCCTAAGCACAGGTTTCCTTCGAATCAGGGCGGAATTTGGGGGCATTCGGCTGAGAAACTCCACCTGCATTAACTAGCATTTATTGACCAGACATGAAAACAAATTTGTCATCCTATGTATTCGGGCACACCTTGGCGTGCAGCCATTGTGTGGGCATTTTAGTCACAACGTTAAACTACTCGTTAGTAGTCAGACGTTCAAGTCAAGTAAGAAACTATGGAAAAATAGGACCACTACCGTATATTAATCCTTGATTAGATGCCCAATTTTCAGTATCAGGTGTATATCAGTGGATCCAATAGATTCAATGCCTTTTTCATACGGACACAGATATACACCTTGAATAATGTCAGATCTCTCGTGTGTTGTTATCCTCGTTGGCAAAATATCCTTGGCGCACGGTGAAATGTTGCGGTAACCATTTTTGTTACACCGTCGGTTACACTGTCACGGTACACCAAAAAAGAGGAAATAATGCGCTAGAGTACAGGGAACCTAACCACAACCACCGAACCATCGTTACCCACACTGCACTCCCTAACAGCGCACTGACGATGTCACCTCGATTGGTGATGCAACGTTTGCGATCAAACTGCCCAACTCAGACAACAAACCAACAACCGTACCTAACCAAATTAAACGCAAGAGCAAATGAGTTCCTTTGGCGAGTGGACTGAATTGGACTTTGAATACACTTTTGTTCAGACCTGAGTGCATTACTTGTGCTAAGCTGAGTAGGCAATCCATTGGTTCACTTAAAAATGTTACCTCAGTGCATGTTTTCAGTGTCCAGTTTGCGCGTTATTCCATACGCATTGTAACATCGTAAAATCTCCATTTTTCTTTGCAGTTCACATCATTGGGTTGAATATGGAATCCGATGGTCAGGGCAAACACGATGGTGGTAAAGATGCGATGTGTGCTATTCACGATTATTTCGAGGCGGCGGATTTCTGACAACAAAGGCCGTCATATTTACATTTTTCACGCAGTTCATTCATTTAAATCTCATCTACAGAGACATATAAAATGAGTATTTTTGAAGAAATGCAATACTTTCTTTGAAATAGTTGACTGTTGACTGTTGGTATACACAACTTTCCTCAATCTACCTGGTCACACTTGGCACAAGCTCTTTCATAAAGCAGTAGATTGTTGGCAAATTCATGTTCCAAAGTCCACTGGTCGATAACAGAATAATTGTGAGTAGTCTTTGGACCTCAACAATTGACTAAACGCAGCAGATTAGCCTCCTGTAAATCAGTATTAGCACTTGCTTCACCTATCTCTACGAAACGGATATGAAGTGTTTTTTCCGCTAAAAATGCTTCACCTGTGTCTTCTCACTCCATTTCAAATAAACAAATGTGCCGACACTTTATTTGTACTTTCCGTAAAAGCTTATTCTTACAAGTGGCTTATAAATCACAACTTATCGACCGAATGAATAACCATCAAGAGGAGGCTTTGTTCAATACACTTATAATGGGACTTGTGTTGAAGCTAGGTAAACTAACTTAAATCCGTTTGGAAAATGACAAAACGGAAGCGATATAGCATGCTGCAAACTGAGTTCTACTCAGAATTTAAAAATGAACTCATCGGTTGCATATACATCCACGATTTTGTACCGATTTCATCAAATTATGACTGTGCAATCTGTAATCAAATTGCGTACACACTGGTAATTTTCGTCCAAGCTCCACTACACAAATGGTCTGATCGCGATGACCTTCTGTCCACATGTGATGGATGCCAATAAACAAAAAAAACAGAATCTACAATAATGCGAAATAAAACTAACTGACGCTAAGTTGGAAATGTGGGAGAATGATGTGAACAGTTGAACGATATACCGTCCTGTCAAGATTGTGCGCAATATTGTATGCTGGTCATTTCACCTGAGAAATCTCTTTTTACTAACCAGAATTAATTTCTGAACGGCATTCTGATCGATCACTACACTGCTACTTTGCCGCAGCCATCAACTTGGTTCAACGATGAAGGTCTATTAAACCTAACGTGAACTGCAAATTGCTTAAAGCAAAGGCAACCTTTTGCTGGAATTAAACGATTCGATCCCTTCATCGTTTAGCTGGAAAATCCTATCCTCTTGCTTACTGGTCGGAACAAGAGGCACTCCAAACAATGCTGGTATCTAAAACTATGCCCCAGAACGTCAAATACTTTCGCAACTTATTTAATTTTCACGTCGATATTCTTCTAAATTCGCGCAGAATCCCATCAGGTTTTCAGGATCAATAATTAGTTTTATGCAGCTACCAGAATCGGCCAGAGAATTTGGAAAAAACACTAATTGTGGGGTAGTATAACATGAAGAAGCAGGTTCAAGCGGTCTCTTTCTCAAGGAGTGTATCAAGTCCTCTGTAACCTTGAGTCCGTTATGAGGTAGTGTTGTTGCAGATAATGAAGTAAAAATCTTCATAGAATGAGGTGACTCCTAAAAGCCTATCAGGTATGACAGAAAAACTTCACGTGCTAAAGCGTGCTGGCTTAGAGGTTCATCAAACCTGTAAAATTGATGATAAGTAATTATTACCACTGGGAGCACAGTATTAGTGGTTCATGGAAAAGGTATTTATAAGGTACGTTAGCCCAGCCTCTTGTCTTTAGCAGTTGGGCTTGAGAAGTCCCAGTGGTGAAGACACGAACGCACTGACAGAAAGGTCCGTCGTTCGAACCCACACTCGCCAGCTCAACTGCTCCTGTATAGGGCTGAACAGAGAGAAATTATCTCAACATTCATGCCGTCATTCGAAAGGCACCGCAGCTGTGCACCAAAAGGGTGTTTAGGCTGAATGATTATTTATTGCTTATTTCTGACTCCGCCAGTAATCGAGACGGTGGGATTCTTCATTAGAAAAATGCTGCAATTTAACCTCCTTCGTTACATTAAATCCTTGGAGTGACCAGTTTACAATCCCGACCTCATCGAACTGAAGAAGTGTAGGCTACAGTTGCGCAAGAGGTTTGCAAGGGTATATGTGAATGTTGCTACAAAACTAAGTAACAAGTACATGTGAAAGTTTGATGAAACAGTACGCTGTAGTAGTTAACTTAGACATTCATTCAAAGAAAAATAAACTGTTCTGTGTTTCAGATTGAGCTAGCTGGAAATGAACTGATGGAGGTTCTGTTTCTCTGTAGCTGGCGTCATTTCCTTCATTTCATCTTAGGGTAAATGTCTAATTTTCTTTCCCTTGTTACTGAACTAAAATAGCTTTAGTCCTTCCATCGATTGAGTAGTTACGGTCACACAGTTGCCTCCCGAGTTGACCCTATGCCCTATGTGTTCTCAGGTGAAGGCTCACTGTAATGTGTTTCCTAAGCGCGGTATACTGTTAAAAATACTGCTGTAGCTGTACACTCAAGGTACAGTGTGACGCTATCTAGCTTTAATTTCCTCGGAGTCTTGTATACTGCACCAGACAGTGATTCAAGTCTTTAAATGACCGGTCCATCTACGTAAGATCTTGATCACTCATGAGGCGAAACATTTTGACCAGTGGTTGATAGTACGTTTCGAAGGACGTATCAATACTCAGAATTGCTTCTGTTAAAAAATGGTAGATTTTCTTTGTGATCCCAGCTTTAATTGGCTCAAATGTGCAGCGCTATTAGCAGAATACTTCACCAGTCGGAGCTACGCTTCACAAAATGCACGTCGTCTATAATCAGTTCAGTCCGTAAATGGCATATTTATGAAGTACAGCAAAAGATCAGTGAAAGCATGAGTCAGAAATCCATTCCCCACACGGTTTCACGCAATATCTATAATACAGATAAATTTCTGCCAGTTTCAAGCGTTCTGAGTCAAACACTAGCAGAACTATTCGGGAACACCAGGTGGCATGGGGCATACCGAAAACCATAACTTCATAATGCACAAATTCATTTTCCGAATACCATTTGGTGAGGAAAGACTAAAAAACTAAGTTGTCGTACTGGTAGCCGTTTATCTTAACTACGGTGAACTTACAGTGATGTACTCAATACACTGAGTGAGTAAGCCATAGACACATCAGTGACTAAAACTGCAAATAACATAACTAAGTGTCTTATAAGGGCTATTCAACCACTCTAACCTTACGTTGCGAGTATTTCGCAACTAAAGAGTTCGCCGAATAGTGACATTTCTTGGGATCAACCTCTAAGAGTGTGCTTCTTGAGCACAGCTATTTCTTCCTTCATAGCCTGTAAACAACAGTATCTCTTTCTTTACCATGTATTATGACATCATGTGTACTGATTGTTTTGCCATTGCCATCATTTTAAAGATTTATTTTTGGGAATATGTTCTTGTAGTTAGAACAAAAACGGATGCACAGTTCTGCCCAATCATGTATTTATCCCTCATGTTGCAGGAGAAATCATGAAAAAAGGATACATTGGTAAAAACCCGATAAAATAGGATCTAAGACTCATCTTAAGCTACCAAAACGAGTGAAACTTGGATGCTACCCTAGAAATACAGCTGGCGGCCAGTATGACTCCTTTGCTCCGTGGTGCTACAAAAGATAACAAGAATTGGCGCAACCTCAAAATAGTATTGTTGCCTTCTAGTATGAATTCATTCCGTTGCAAAGAGCAGTATTCCGGCAGTCGGATCGCTTTGAACGCTTCACTCGCCTGCTGGGTAAAAGGAGTTAATCTCGTTGCTGATCATCTGCTCGTCGCCGAAAGGACAAGTGTTAATTCTACTAGCCGGAGGATCACCCATTTGAAATTCCTTGGAGTCTTATGAGAGACGCACTGCTTGTTGTTCTCAATAAGAATAAAAGAGCTATTATAACTTGCCTTTAGTCCTCTTAGCATAGACTGGCTTGAATTACAAGACGAAGTTTCCGTTGAACATTCATTTTTCTCAAGTTTATGGTTTAGACATGTGACCCTATCTGATAATTTATCATCATTGTGTCGTTAATTGATTGTTACCGTTGCTTTCAATCTAGGGGCCCTCAAATGCATTCTTAACTGATTTGGCCACCCTAGACTTTTGGCCTGGAATTTTTTTCTCACTTGAGCAGTGGCACAACCTCAGTGGAAGGGGAAAATATGGCGAAGAAATCAATGAATGAAGGGTCCAAATGCAATGTCAAACAACACACTTGACTGGTAGTAGATCAGGTGGCCCCCGATCTGTTTGCCTATATTGGCAACTGAAATGTGGATATATCCTCACCACTGAGGAAGGGGACTTCAGTGCACTGTTGGTAGGTAATTCCACCGTTCGAGCTTGCACCCACGAAGTTTGCAAAGAGTAGCTTCGACCAGTAACCTGAATAGCTATTGATAATAGTCGCACTTGGAGTGCGCTTGATCCGATCAACCCGTGTGTCACGTTGTGGCTTACATTTCTTGCGTTCGACTGCCGCCCTACATGTTGAAATTGCCTCCACCATTTTCTGCATTTGGTCCACTTTTGATCTGTTTTGCGCCGTGATCACTTTGATTAGTTGATGGTCAGTGCGCTGTTGGTAGGTAATTCCACCGTTCGAGCTTGCACCCACGAAGTTTGCAAAGAGTAGCTTCGACCAGTAACCTGAATAGCTATTGATAATAGTCGCACTTGGAGTGCGCTTGATCCGATCAACCCGTGTGTCACGTTGTGGCTTACATTTCTTGCGTTCGACTGCCGCCCTACATGTTGAAATTGCCTCCACCATTTTCTGCATTTGGTCCACTTTTGATCTGTTTTGCGCCGTGATCACTTTGATTAGTTGATGGCTTGCTTTTCAATTTCATATGTTGTTTTCTTCATTGTGAGTGGTGCATACCCAAATTGTTTCAACCCGGATGTCTCTTTACTTTGGTCTTATTGGTTTCTCCCTTAATTCTTTGTTCGGCTGAGGGTTTGATGGTCCCGGATTTCCTTCGTCCTTATAAGGTAATGGCCGGGGCGATCTCAATGCGCCTGTTCATTGCTCCATCTGTGGTATACCGTGTCTCGAAAATTTGCGTTCTTCCTTTTTTCTTTCTTGTCCTAGTATGCTGCCGTTTTTCTGTGGAATCTTTGTCTTTTCCAGCCCTCGCGTACAGAGACAAGTGAAACTTATTCGTACCTACTAGCTGCGAGTATGTATTCAGTGACTCATGTAGACAGTTTCCTCCCTGTTTTTCCAACGTAACGTTTTTAGAATTCTCGCGTGGGATTTTGTAGGTAATATTTGTGTCTTGCATTGCATTGGTTTTCCTTTTTGGTTTCAACAGTGCTGTTCGTAGCTTGTTGTCTGTAAGCCAGTCTTATGCAATATCCTCGTAGTATTCTTGTGATCATCTCTAAAATTTTTCCGATCTAAAGCAGTGCAATTGTTTTTCTTGTGTTTTTGATGGTCGACTTGCCGAGGTGCGTTTTTTTAGAGATCTTAAGATAAAGTTCCTTGGGCAGCCGTGTGTTCCAATGTTTTTCGATTCACTTGAATAATGTCCCAATGCGTCTGTTTGTGATAATTTGGGCGGTAGTTGTGGCAGTTCAGGATTTGGTCCGTATGCGTAGCTTTTTTGTAGACTTCAGGTTGCATTCGTTCATTTGGTAACCTTGTGACGAGAACATCTAAAATCGCCAGATTGTTTTTGTTTTTCTTTCCCACCGTGAACCCGACTTTCTATAAGACTCCGTTTATCAAATAGATTTTGCATTGCAGCTTGGTCTTCCTAAAGACGACGAAAGTATGGTCTACATGACACATCCACAGTTTTGGATGGATATCTGGTAATACAATTCTCTCCGGTTCCTGCAAGAAGACCTGGGCGATGAACCCGGAGATTGAGGAACCCATCGGCGCTTCCTTCAGTTTTTCGTAGTATCTTCCATTGAACTCAAAGTACGCGGGCAAGCAGAGATTGAACAGTTCGTGGATGTCTCCTTTTCCCAGAGGGTCCGTGACTATTCAATATTTCAGCCGGTGCTGTCTTTTCGGAATGGAGGTCCATAGATGTGAACATTGAACCCAGATGAAATAGGACCGTTGTTTCGTCCCCTTTTTCATTGTCACGTTTTTTAATTTGTCCAACAATTCTTGTGGGTTTTTAAATGGGGTTGCTACCCACTGATGAGATATTTGACGTTTCTCCACAGTTCTTTCGTAACGTTGTGGGTTGGAGTGCCCGAAGTGACAAATGACCCTAGTGGAATGGTTTCATTGTGTACCTTCGGTAATCCACAGATTCTCAGTCTGCTTGAAAACTGCTCAAGAACTGGCTCCACTACCTGAACCAAACTTAATACAGCATCTCATCACTACTACTTGACAAGTGATGGAATTATCCTTTTCGTAAAAGCGACAACATCCTACCGTGTTATCTTCCTGATCAATCATACCCCCTGGTTTTGATGTTCGTGACCACTTTGTCTCCGGTTACCCTAAAATGCTTACCTACTGATTACTTGGGAGTATTGCTTGTGCTACAAACTGACAGAAAATTAGCTTCTAACAGCAAAAATAAGAACAATGCTCTAACATAGTGAAGAGATAAGGAAAGTTGGTATTTGGTGGCCCTGATAAAAAAGAGCACGTGTGACAACAGTTAACAATAATAAACATATTCGTGTGATTACAAAATAAAAATTTATCGGTATCAGTGATGGTCTTTGTCGGATGAACCTCCTAGAGAGGTAGGTAAAGTCTGTCTTGCAACATAGTGGCAATGTCTTTGAAGCAATTTAGGCCTACAATATAGTTCATCCTCTTGTGAAATGTGTTTTAAGGTTGAGTTTCGAATGATAATTCTAAAACTGCAAGTTCAGATCACTATTTGGCGGCACGGTTAGATTGAGATAGTTCGTCTGCGAAGCTAAATTTAGCGACCGATGGAAATTTTGATACGGTACCTTGCTAACGAACGAGTCAACTAACCGGGGATCATGGAGAAAACGATGCTCATATAGCCGAGTAATCAGGCAGTTTTCTTCGAAACACAAATCGTAACATGCTTTTTTTATGGACTGGTGCACTGATATTCTGTTCCATGTATTAAATCCTCACCGTTCTCCCCTGTTCGATTGGAATGCCGTATGTCGGACCTAGGGCTGTACAATTCAACCATCTGTTTGGGGGCGGGATAATTACTCCCGCTGAAATCGTGATTGCGAAATCCATCTGGTTATATGTAACGTAAATTTTCTAATAATTTTTGTTTACTCGCAGGTTCTATTTATATATATGCAACGCAATTAGTCAGTTTCGGTTTATCACCTGTTCTTCTCGTTTAATAACCCATTTCTGATAAGTTACAACTCTCCATGAATTTGGTCAATAAAAGGTGGAGATTTGCGCGGAGGTTACTCCTTTAACACTCTCTAATAATTAGCCCTCGAAATACACCTTTATTATAAGAAAAGGTGATAAATAATGGTGAATGTAGTCATTTTTATCACAGTAATGCATGTATCACATAAATAATGCACACGCAATCACACGTGAACTTGAAACCGAAATAAAAAGAGTATTCTTCTCACTGTTTACACAGATGTGATTCAGAACAGAGTTGCTCTGTTTTCTCTGTCTGAATGAGCAAAATTTAATACTCGCAATTAGTCTTTCATTGTTTCTTTGGGGGTTTATATCTCTTGATTGTCAGCGCAGTCTCTCAAGGAGGTGGCTTGTTTGTGAACCCTTCGGCAGCGGCACGCATATTAGGTTTTCTTTCCGTCCGAATAGTAAGAACAACTATCAAAAACGTTCCACAGGCCAGCAAAAATGGGATAAGGAGCAAGACAACTTGGGTCACTTTACTGAGCACAATCACGGCAAAAATTCGAGAGATCACCTCGATATCGATTATGCCAGCCCAGTCAGAAAAACCTATTTCCCGTGTGCTCCTTGGATCACCATGAACGCAGATCAGACGTTCGTAATTTGTTCCGGTTGGCCTTGTTTTATGCATAACTTCAGTAATCACTAAGTTTTGCGCTTGGTCCAATCGGATTCGTCCCCTTGTTTTACGCATTATTTCCGTTGCCCCAATGGGTTTCAACTTAGTCATCAGATAACGTGATGGCGAGCCATACTCAGAGATAATACTTTCGGACACAGCCTCGTGGGTTAAATTGACCATTTCAGTATCATTGAAGGTCGATTGAAACCAACTTATTGGGCCACGTACAGGTCCACGGATTGGGCACTGGATGACGAGCTTCTCACCTTCGTTTACGCGCAGCTGCACCCGGGTGGGGTAACGGTAAGTTGTTTGTCTTTTGCTGTTAATTGTACAGTGTACAGAAAGAAAGTGAAATCAGTAAGCGGAAATCCAGTTTGTTTACCACGCGGCCAACGCAGTCATACTTAGGCAAAAAGTACCCGCGTGTAATTAATTGTGTCGCCTTTTTTAATTCATGTACACTGGTTGTGGAAATTCACCTATGGTTCATGATCACTGAAACCTGCAACTGAAGTTAGTTTATGCTTTCTTCCTGTTTTCAGAAAACAGGAACACTGTGCACTTAATGGGGCTTTAAATAGAGTTGAATTCATGAAATTCCGGTTAAGGGCTGAGTACCGTTATCAGACACTCCTGTCCGGCATATGAAGGACTATCTTCGGAATGTCTTCGAAAGCTTACTAATGCTACGAACAGATCAATTCATTTTGCTGTAGCATCGTTATTTTACTCCAGTTGATGTCATTATTTTTTAACCTAGTGATCTATGTTTCATTAGTTAAAGAGTCAAACTGGTAGCCTTGAAAACTAATAACTTCCTGTAAATTAGTTTGTTGTCAAAGTGAATGATAATTGGATATGATCAAATAGGACAGCCACTAGCAATGAACTCCACAGTAGGGGACATTTCCAGTCTGGAGTTCCTTATGGCTGTCCCACTCGAATATTCACCGCAAACTAGGGTGATACCTGACTCCACGTGGACAGTGGGTAAGATTGGCCAAACATCCAAACATCATACCGAAAATTATGTTCTACACGTGCTTCCTGAAGTTGAAATTTGTTTTCCAAAACTGATTTGTGAATAAGATCAAAATAAGACATAGGTTGCCTAGATGGGGAAGGTTTGCGTCAGAGCACACAGCTGCTACGAAACAAGCATAAAGTCAACTCAGGTAAGACGCCTCAATTGCGGAAGAAGTCTGACAGTATCATACTCTAGAAGCCGAAAAGTAAAAATATTATTACATAAGGGTATGTTGTGAATGTCTTTAGACAAGCTACATTATATCTCCCATGTCCAACCTTAGCCATAAGTCTCTAATCGTAGGGGTTGGTTACCACCATTTTACCTTATTGTAAAGCAGGACGTTTTGTCTCATCATGAACAAAATTTGGTTTGTACTTACTGATCCAGGTGACTTCATCTAGTTGCACCCAAGATTAGGACGCCTCCGTGCTCACTACTTGATTTGAGGTAGATATCATTGTCTTCGCGAAGGGGAGACTACGTCTAGAAAACCGAATAATGTTGATGTGTTGATTACACAAAGCACTTGTTTCACTCACAGACTTCCGATTACTCGACTCTATGTGTATGTATGTATGTTACAACGCACGGTATTTTGCACCTTCTAAACAATAAGTTTGCTGCTTATGTTTCCTCATCCTTACCCGATCCTAATTCCATCCCGGTCTTTTCCTCCAGATAATCAGCGATAAGAATAACAACACCGAAAACTTGAGGGTGGAACAAGATGCTCACTTTTGTGCGGTTTGAGGACAGGTATACACACATTTTCTTTGTTGTATCTCACTTGGGCGAAATTTTAACACTTGTGGACCGTAGAGCAACACAGCATCTTTAATCAGGTGTGATCTACAAGGAAGCCCCTTATCTGAATACGCACGCAAAGTGTCATCGATCTGTAACGCTAAAGAATGCGGCCGAATTGAATGAAATAGGTCCAGTACACGAACACGACAAATACCAACACGCATTTGGATCCCATCTCCACCAGGTTCCGTTGAGCGTGGGAGTTGATCTGCCGCTGTACATGGTACACAGTCTGTCCACGGTAGCCAATCAGTGAAGACCCGCATATTGTATTCCGGTAGGTTCTGTGGATCCAGCGATTGTGGTCTTCCGTCCCCATTTTTGAGCAGTAATTCAGTGGAGTGGTTCTCAGCTGATATTTCTGCTTCCAGCTGTTGCATTGCAAACTCGTCATATTTTGTTGGTAAAGTTACTTGGCGGAACGGTTCGTCCAGAGCATTTACCACAGTGACGGCCCATTCCTTCAATCGTTTTCCATTCCAGTAGCAATAGTATACACCTGTGTCTTCTGTACGCGTCTGCCTGATGTAGACTGTATCGGCTGTCAGCTGAATGCGAGAATTAGTGCGCTCCAACCCCGAAGGTCTCAGAACTTTTGCTTGTTCGCCTTCTCTGGCTAACATCATATAGAGATTTAGATTTGGCGATAATGGTGGCGGGGTGAATTCCGCTGAGGAGTTTTCTACTGTGGAAGGCGTCACACGTTCAGAAAAATCCGATCGTAACATTGCATCCACTTCATCTGGATAATACTGCGCTCCAGGCCACAGCCGTTCATGCAGTCTAATTTTCGGCGACACGCAGGGAGGAAAAGATCCACGTTAGCAACATTTATATCATAGCTAATTATTTTGCCAGCGATTCATCTAATAGAATATTCTACAGACAAGGTACCTGCAAATTGCCAACCAAATAACTTACCAATCACTTACCTGTATTGAAGAGTTTTGAGGGTTTATATGTTTAAAAAGAAAACTGAAGTCGTCTTCGTCATTTGTACAACGGAAAGCTGACTTTTTCTGGCATACATGTTAGCAATTATTTCGTGGAACTTATGCAGGCTACTCCGGATGACCTTCCAGTATGAACCGTTGGGTTACTTCCCCGGTGGCACACACTTCAATCCACTGTGTAAGGGACTGTTGGTTCCCAAGTATATCACCGGTTTCTACTGCTTCAAAATGTAAACGTTCACATTTGACTCCAAGCTACAATGTTACTAACTGACGAGGAGACAAGAAAAGTATGTACGAAGCATAATGTGTGGGGAACGACATTCAGTTCGCAAGACTGTGTACTTTCTCAGCTTTCCATTGATTCGGACCACCTGTCCAATAAATGCATGGATAATGGTAGTTCGGTATAAAGATTAATGAAAGTTCGCCTTGCGTAACAACGAAAGGAAGGGGCTCTGATGAGGCCAGCCTCAATTAAATTCAAAAGGAAGCCTTTTTCATGACTGCATATGTCTTCTATATCATGGATAAACGAGGTTTCCGAAAACTAGTGATTGTCGTTTCTGTAATTTATCCGCACTTGTTACTCTTTGACATTATAGAAGATACCGTCCCCCATAAGTATACAACCCGGCACTATATCTCACACCTTTTGACATGAATCGTGATTGGGAGCTCTACTAATCAGTCTGATGATCAGACGATCAGCTAGGAAAACAATTCATTTGTTAATTATGCTTTAGAGTCGAAATACCATTATGTCGGGACTCTATAATCTGCAGTGAATGGCTACCCTAATGGGTCTCATCCTAGGTGTCAGCTGTCTCTCTGTCCAACAGAGCCACACTGCTTTCTCCTCCCGAGAGGATGAACATCTAAACCAAGATGGCCTTCAAAGGTTCTGAGTACAATATCCAACCGTTTCGACTGTCGATTTGGAACAATACATTATCTCAATTATATTGCCAGGAAATAGGATTTTCTGCCCACTTTTATTTGCTTTGTGCGGAGATTTTGACTGGCAGGAGGAACTACTCATTTTCGCCCGGGAGCTCAGCTTAAACAAAACGAACTCCTCAACTCCGACGAACTCGCTATTTGGTTGAGTTCGCCCGCTAGCACTCTTCTATTCATTATTGAAACGATTTTTGCTGTAAACAAGAAAAAATAATGGTAAGCATTGATATCTCTCCAATTAGGTCGCCAATGGTTTAAATGTAGACAACTCGTTAAATAAACAGCCAGGACTAGTTAGTAAATGGTTGACTGCTAAAGAACCGAGCGCATGGTTTCATATCACCATCACCATCATCATCATCATCATCGACAGCATGACATCAGTGTTCAACACCAATGCCTCACTGCCGTAATAGTTTCATATAGTTGTCTGAAGACCCACTAACATATAGGGTCGTGTCAAGTGATTATAGCGGACTCGAAATTCATATGACTATAGTGTTTTTGACCGAATAGTACTGGATCCCTCCAGCTCCAGTGCAACCGCTTCACGTATGCTCAAGCAACGCCGGTAGGTCGATAGTGTAAGTGTATGCTGTAGAAAAGCAACTCTTTCGAATGGATCACGCAACCGTCATCAACCGACCTTTGAACTGTTGTCGGGTTTGGTGGTAATCCAATGAGTAGCCTGCTCACGTGTCATTTTAGAAAGTCGTGTTTCGCACCAACATGTTCCACTAAACAGCATCAAAAGAGCAAATACAAAATCTCATTTCTGGTACTCTTTCCTTGAGGGTTATTTAGATAAAGATGTGGTTGTATACCAAGAGCTCAAGCATTGTTCCAGGAATTGAGTTATACGGCGGCTGACTGTGCTTGCCAGATGCTTACCCCTATAGGGAACGATCAAGTAAACGGGCCTCTTTTTAAGGTCAAGGCGGGTAGCCGGGTGGAAAATTGAGGCATGAGCTGTGTTCTCTGACTGACGGTAATTAGAATCTGGGCTCACTTAACAACAAATTGAATTGTTAATCAGCCGCCCAATCGGGGTGAAGTTTAGTCAGAAGTATAGGGAAAACTGTAGATTTCGGTACAAAACAGTACGCTGTTTATGTTACTTAGATTTATTAGGAGGCTACTCATCCCAGAGATCAAACTCGCCGTCTCCAAAACAACCTGATCTGCCAACGTTTTCTTTCAAAGCGAAAAGTGAGACCTATTCTTGATTATAAATTTCCCTTCACATTACTGTTGGCTCTGAGCACGTTCACTGTCCGTCTTGTCGTAATGGCAAAAGCTTGCAGGAGTTGTTTGTCGCTTTCTTCGTTAAATTTTCTAATATAAGACATTAAAAAACATATTTAAATTTGGACATATTTTGATTTAATCATCCGTTGAAAATACACGAAATTTGACCTACACACAGGCCAACAGGCCCTTGCTTCTCATCATGATTTCGAAAGACAGCATCCAGGAAGCTACAAAGCTGACGAATTTAATCGGCAAATTTTATCTTCCCTGTAGTCAGTTTACTCCTAAGGATCAATATCAATATCTCCACTATTGGAGAGTTATCGGCCTCCTTCATCTGGAATTATACCTCCATTTAATTGGACTCTATACCAAAAGTTGACCTCTGAATCTCTTCCACTTGCAATACTTTATCAATGTTTGTAAAGTCTTTTGGACCTGGACAGACTGAAAATCTTTAATTATTCGCGTGCAATTTCATCCGCGTCGTTTCCCAGTACAACGATCTGTGAGATGAACCAGTGTATGGTCTGATTGGTCTAACATCCGAAAATTTAAGCATCAGTTTCGGCCTTGATTAAAATTACTTGGAAGAACGTCAGTTTTTGGGCTTTTTTGATGGAAACATGAGGACTTTATTTGCCTGCGTTTGTTAAATATATAAATGCACTAAATTGTTCTATCTAGTTCACCATGCTAAAGCATACCCACAAAAGTAGTATTCATATGGAGACTTAGTGTAAAGCCAACGGCAACTCAATCGACTTGGTGAGAGCTTTTGCGCTAATTCATGGCGCAGTTTTTCGCGCTAATTTTTTCATAACAACACCCAAATCAATGGAATAGCGAGTTACTTGCAAGCGCATCTGTCTAGACCAATGTATTCGCTGCATATTTCTTACTGATTCGGGCAATGGGTTAAATATGAGGGCGATATAGCCCAATGGTTAGAGCGCGAATTTTCTCACCGAAAGGTCTGTGGTTCAAGCCTGACCTCTACCTCTTAACTCTTCCTATGTAGGCTTATGCAACCTGGCAGTGCTTCCTTCGGGTGGCATGGCAGCTAGACACAAAAAGGGTGTTACAGATGTACTATTTCGATGGGCTAAATTCCCTTATGCGATTCTAACGACACCAGCCTACGAGCAACAGTTCGGTTGATCAAGTAAAATGGATTTCCGTTCACAGAACGCTTTATCAGTTACTACCGCATCACACGATCACCCCTGCATCTGTGGACACCGTTTATGCTTGGTGCACGTCATTGTGCGCAATCCAGTAAAAAAAATGGCGCAGCCTCAGTACCTTCGTGCAATCAAACTTCTACGCAATGATTTTCGTCCTTTCGGTTCCCTGATCACCGTGCTTGTCCGTAGATTCGGTTCGTTCATTTCGAGTTATTCGATTAGTTTGCTCGCAATCGGGTGCGTATTTCTACGCGTCGGTTTGTTGAGCTTGTGACCAACCGTCATCTTTCCAAGACTTGACTTGGTTGCCTGGTATTTCTACATGCAAAACTTTTACTTTTTCTAGATTGATTCTTCGTGTGTGGAAACTAGACAAAGTACAGAGTGTTCTTTAATGCCTTCATGTGAATAGGTTTCATTCGAATTGTGCAGTTGATTAGTTGTACCAGGTTGCGTCTCGCACCACCGTCAGTCTTGTCCAGTTTAATGCGTTAATGCTGCTCGTAGACCATTTTCTTATAAGCGTCTGTGCGCCGATCGCTACACAATTCAGTCAGAGTCTTGTACCTTCTTTGTTTGATCAACGCGTTTTAGAAAAGTGACGTACAGGTGTGCCTCTTACATCCTCTGTAGCTGCTGCTGATTCTGCATTTCCATTCAGTGGAAACATCTGAGTGTCAAGTTCGCTTATAGTCGTTTTAATTCCTGGTTGGACTGGGGGTTAAATTATCTGTCATTGCCTTCATGAGTTGTGCGCCATCATTATTGACATCCATTTTTTACAAAGAGACAATACTGCTAACCTGGGAAATTACAAGAACCCGCCTCAACTTTTGGGCAACTACTGTTATTTGGCATGTTTCCCTAAGGTGGGATAATGCACACAAAACAATTACAGGATCAGAATATGCTGCCACCAAGCAACTTCTGTCAAAAAAATCTAATTAGTTTACTGTCGAAATCATTGTCACAGCTATTGACCACTGGCTTACTCATCAGCTGACTTACAAACCAGGTTGAACTAAACCTGACTTTTTCACCTCTCGTTATATGAGGCACCGCTGGCATTGGTTAGGAAGACCAGTTATCTAAAATATCCACTGTATACATCTTTGTACACTATTCATCGGCAGTTTAAACCAAACAAAAGCTACCCAGATTTTCACGACGTCCTTTAACAATCCTACTCTTCTTGTGGCAAGACGTTACTGGTCGGCATACTGCTACAGTGAGCACATTAAGCCCATTTTTACCGGTTGCCTCATCACATTTGCTGTTGCTTGAAATATTCGTTGTCAAAGACAGGCAAATACATTCCATCACTTTTGGCTGCTTCAACTCAGATCACTTCAGCAGGGTGGTGTTAATCACTCTGTGGAAGCAAGGTTCTACACTTGAACTTTGTCTGGCATGCGGTAAACTTTCTCTTGTC